GTCAAAATTCGGTAATCCGATTTCGGATTGCATCGTTTTCGTTTTCCACCTTGCTTAATGCGTAAGAGGGCTTAAAAGTCTCAAGCAACTATGGCCTTCCATGATATCTTTCAGGAACCGAATCTCGAATGGTAAGCCTGAGTAATTATTGTATTTGATGTTTGTTTTTGTTATATCTAATTTCATGAAGTCGAGCACAGTTTATGCAGCAAGTTTATGCACGTTTGTAAGATTTGAGTCAATGATCTGACCTAGTATCAGTTTTGATATAAGCTTACAGAACTGTGAAAAGCCTTCAGATATATTTTCTCACCGCAAATAGAAAGAAAACGTTCCGAAGAATATTTAGCTATAAATTTGGCTGTAGAAAGAAAACTTTGAGCGATTTTCTTGCTTCGAGAAGTGGCATCGTTGAAAAAAACAAACACCGCGAGACCGGCTGAAATTACAGTAAAACATAATTAACTTTTAAGTTTAAAGACTCACAATTTTTAGAGACACTTTAATACTTGTCTTCGTGAATGAAAATTGTTGTCTCTGTAAATGTTTCACCGAATTATCTTTCTTTTATTGATTGTTAGTACTCTCTTGCAATTTTAATCGCTCGTCCGTGGCGTTTGTTTTCATCGTTCATGAACATCGCTTGCAGGAGTACTTTAAAAAAATGTCGCGCGTATCAAACGCTTTATAAGATTACACATCATTATAACTGAAACCATTAAATAACAAAAAATTATAATAATAAATTCGTTATTATGTTGAAACGTAACTCTTTTAAAGTTCATTCAAACACTCGATTACACAGACAGCTCGCACTAGCAACGAGAACCGGCCGGCCTAATGAGTGATTTTGGAAATTTTTTTTAACGGTTTCGCTAAAAGCCCACGATTGATCGTCCCGAACATTGACTGAGTGCAATTTGTGTTAAAAAATTGTGAAATACCGTGTTCTGTCCGAGGTCTGTATGATAAATTGTATGTATTGTTTCACCTCAGATCGTGTATAAAAAGTATAAAAGGTTGGTTTACACACCCCCAGATTTGTTGGCAAGAATTTGTAAAGTAAACCTGTCGAACGCAAAAAAAATTCAGCCTGATTTGTTTTCCTAGAATTTGTTTTCGAGGCCTTATCTAAAGCTGTGATCAAGAGCCATTATGGCTCTTGAATGTGATCGAAGATGTTTGCTCTTTTTTGGGTGTACATATAAGGCTATCAATTCGATGTAAGATGTTTCACTCTAAAATAACTTAGCCTTTCCCTCAAAAGTCACATGAATGTGCCCTCAAGTTAACTGATTTGTGGATCACAAGTTTATTGTTTGATTTAAATTATAACTTTATTAATGGGAGCTTCGCTTTTAGCCCTGGCTAAATCTATATATTACAAAGTGCGACACGGTTTATTACAATTTGCGACAGGTATTACAAAGTGCGATGGATTTATTACAAATTTCGACAGGTATTACAAAGTGCGATGATTATTACAAATTGCGACAGTACAGACGGCCTAAGCAAAATCTCAAGTAACTTTACTTTGCATCTTATTAAAACCGACTTAAAAAACCGAACTTGTGGTTTTCAAGCTTTGCGAAAAGCAAGCATGTCAATCATGATCAATCTTAATTACGTAGCGTGGGAAAACCTGATAGAAAAAAGATAGGTTGTGTGTGAAGCTTTCTTTTACTTGAACAATTGAAAATTTACTTGTCTTGAAATATTTCTTAGCTTGTTTAGGCTCTAGTGTAAAGACTACCAGTATTTTGAAAGGTAGCGTTTATATCAAAATGAAAGATTCCCGACAGAATGCATTTCTTTGGTGCATGAGCCAGACAAGCCGTGATCGAATCAATGGCCCTCGTGTACGAACTCACGAAAAGAACTCAGGAGATGCTGTTCGCCGATTGGGCACAATAATACAAAGCATTTTTTGTGGCCAATCAGGAGCCAGCAATCGCTTGACCGTTCGGAAATGGTCCGGTGAGAGTCGGTACCTAGGGACTTTTCCGCCTGTGCTTGAAAACTTTTGTCGCACCTTTTCTCCCGGCCCGACTGACCGCCCCTGGGTCTCCGAGGATGTGTAGCTAGGCGCCCGTAGTGCCACAGAGTAAATCTACCGAGTTGTGTAGCTCGGCGGCCGTTATTCCACAAAGTAAATCTACCGAGATGTGAAGCTCGACGGCGCCTTTTCATCACTGGACTCAATTCTATGATATACCGTAAAATTCCGAAAATAAGCCCCTCCATGTATAAGCCCCTCCAAATATAAGCCCCCTTAACCGGTAACGCAAAAAAACCCTCCGTTAAATCGCCCCTCCAAATATAAGCCCCTGGGGGCTTGTACTTGGAAAATTGCTCTCAAATACAAAGAGAAACAAAGCAAAAAAGGTAAATTTACTTCCAACTGCAAGGCTAGCCCAACTGATTTTGAAACGCAAATTTCCCTCCATAGATAAGCCCCTCCAAAAATAAGCCCCTCAAAAAGGGTCTTTGAAGAATATAAGCCCCGGGGCTTATTTTCGGAATTTTACGGTATATTAGTTACATTTTATACTACCTTGTTTTTACATTATATTTCCTCGTTTTTGCTCTGTGTTTAATAAAACTGCATTGCTCTCAGCCAATCCTCAGATTTAAGAATTTTTTATCATGTCTATTATTATGATGAAAAACAAGTTACATTCAAATAATTCCCTAAGCTCTGAAACTGTTTCAGTCTCAGTTTAGTTTCAGTGTATTTTTTTGGTAGAAAAAAAATACATATGCATACAGACATTCAATATATTACAAAAACTTCATTTAAAGATTAAAGAGACGTAAATTACAAGTAAAAGAATGTAAAAACAATTTTCTGGCGTTGAAGCTCAAATGGAAACCTTGGGGCTCATTATATGAGCTCCCTCCCTAAACTAAGACTAAACATAATGTAAATAAATAAACGGCAAAGTCATACTGAAATATAATTGGGATAAAAAGCAAGCAAAACAAAACGGACAAAACAGACAAAATGCAGCGAAAAACAAGTATTATTTACAAATGATTATTAATCAACTAAGAAGAAATGTTTTTAATCTGGATTTAAAAAAAGAAATAGTAGCAGCAAAAACGAACGTAAAGCATTTTTTTTCTCTTTAATTCTCATCTCGCTAAGTATGGTACAAACTGAACCTGACATAATTTAGCCCATTTTTTGAACATGTGTATACTGTTAAGACTTCCTGGCAGGGATAAGGCGATTAATAGTACATTAAAAAAAGCCTTTTTTAATCAATTTGAATCTTTGTTCTACAGATGTATCGATCAAGACTCGGTTAATAAACTTTGTATCACTAATCATGACAGTTTAGCTCGTTTTCTAAAAACCGGACAATTGTGCTATTTGTTTTGCCAATTGCACGGCAGCAACAAGATTGCCAATAACTCTGTCGTTTAATAAAATGAAAATACAGCCCACCGCATATCTAATTGGTTTTCCACATGATGAAGCTATCACTTAAGGAAAACAGATATATTAAAAAAAGGTTCGCTTGAACGTAGTTGCTTCGGAGAGAAGTCATGGTAATGACAAACTACCAAACAATTAGAGAATTGTATTGTTTTGCAAAATTCACTGGAGAGTCGAGGAGAGGTACATGGCGAGCTAATTTTTCTCGAAGACAAAAGAGAACAGCTAAATGTGATGGTGAATGATGGTGCAAGTTCCATGTTAATATTTTGGGTTCACTATACTCAATCGAAATGAACGTCACCTTGGTGTTTTTAATTTTAAATATTTTACCGTTCATATAACAGATCCGTATTGGACGCACCGGGAGATGATGTGAACGGGGGAAATGAATTTAAAAAGCAAGTTAAATGAAGATATAATCTTGACGTAGTGAAATAGCAATTTAAGCAATTGCAAATAAACCGCCCAAAATGTTAATAAAAGTTATAGCCCACACAGTTTGACATGTTTGGGGATATACTCGGTTAAGACTTCATCTTCTAAAGAAAAATGTGGCCAATTTAGTGCCGGTATCCATGTGAACGTCAGTCAAAGCTGAAGAAAAACGGCACAAGCAATTTGAAGCTACAAAATACAGAAACACTTTAATATAAGCCCCACCAGTAACAGGCTCGCCAATATATTCTCCCCTCTAACAAGCATTGAAATGAATTTGATTGATTATGATATTTTGAAGCTTTTACCAGTAACTGGAAAACATATTTAAATCAGCACTGCTTTAGCTTGTTTCGAACAGCTTTTTCCAGTTCCGTTATAATCCCCCTCGCCTATAAGCCCCTCCGTTTAATTTATCAAGAGCCCTTCTAAAATCCCTTACAAAGATGTATAATCCCAGGGCTTTTAAGCGGCAGTTTACGGCACCGCATATCATATGTTCGGCTCACAAACTTAACACCTCCGTTAGCAAAATTTTCTCGTTCTTGCTCTCACTATGTTTACTAAAACTGCTGATTGCTCGCAGCTAATCGTCGAATTCAATTCTTTTTCATGATTTTTATATGATAAAAACAGGTTAAATTCTAATTTCCTAAGCTCAAACGAACGTTTTATTTTCTTTAATTCTCACTTCGTAAATGGCCCAGACTTTCGAGCCCATTATTTGAACATGTATACATTGTTACTGAGACCTCACTGCCTGCGATGACATTATGAGCGCGTCAGTTTAACTTCTAGCAATTGACGAAAACCGTTTTTTACTCAATTTGAATATATGCTTAACACTGAGAAATATCGATCAAGACTTGGTTAATAGACTTTTTATTACTAACAGTTTAACTCGTTTTCTAAGAGCCAGGCAATTGTGCTATTTGCTCGCTAATGGGCGCACGGCAACACAAAGGCAACACCAAGATTGTCGAATTCCATCGTTTAATAAACTGAAAATACAGAGCAAATATTTAATTGTTTGCTGACAAGGTGCATGTAGCAGTCATATAAGGAGGACAGATATATTAAAAAAGAGTTCAGTTGACTGTAGCCGCATCGCAGAAAAGTCATGGAAATGAAAAATTTGACTGGAGGTGAAAACCTGCAAACAATTGCAGAACGTTTCTGCTCTGTGGAATTTACTGGAGAGGTACATGGCGAGCTCGTTTTTCTCTCTGTCATTAACACTTTTTTGTCAATTACAGCATTTTTGGGGAATACTCTGATCCTATTTGCCCTTCGCAAGGACACATCAATTCATCCGTCATCCAAACTCCTGTATCGTAACCTTGCGATAACCGATCTCTGTGTTGGTATCATTGCGGAGCCTCTACGCGTTGCATATTGGATTTCTGTGATCATGAACGAAAGATGGGATATTTGCTATTACAAAAGTTTGACAGCATATTTCGCAGGTACTACTTTGTGTGCAGTGTCGTTGATAACACTGACAGCAATAAGCGTGGACAGACTTCTCGCTTTGCTACTAGGTCTCAGATACAGACAAGTTGTAACTTTGAAAAGAACACGTTTAATTGCTATTGGTGGTTGGATTGTGTGTATTGTCGGTTCATCTATCTCCTCTCTGAATCCTCTTATAGATTCTTTGTGCCAATTTATTGGTGCAGCTTTTTGTTTAGTCACTTCAATCTGTGCCTACACAAAAATTTTCATGTCTCTGCGTCTTAACCAAATTCATGGTCAGAACCATGTTGTTCAAGGACAATCGAGCCAAGCAAATACACTGAATAAAGCTCGATACAGAAAGGCAGTGTACAGTGCACTGTGGGTGCAGGTAACATTGATTATTTGTTATCTGCCGCACGTTATAGCTATAGCTTTAACACCTCAAAGGGGGATGCCTTTATCTACTTACCTGGCTAGGCAATTTACAATTACTTTAGTGTTTTTAAACTCGTCGTTAAACCCGTTTCTGTACTGCTGGAAGATCACAGAAGTGAGACAAGCTGTAAAAGAAACATTACAACAACTACACTTCTGTACCTGAACTAAGACTTAGACTAAAAACATTTAGTAGCGAACGTGATAAGAAAATATATATAAGAAAACCAGACGAATATCCTGATCCGAATTGTACCTTTAAGATTGTTTTCTGTTTCACCGCAGATTGAAAGACAGTAACAAAATCATTTGTTTATGTTAAAAAGTTTAATAATCATAAAACAAAATGAAAATATCACTAAGACTAGTCAGTTGGCTAATTAGTTCTCTGGCAATGAAGACTACGAAGCAGGCACATATTCTTAAAGGGAACAGCTCACTTGCTCGCAACATCACACTGACAAAGCTCTTTTGACTAATGTTTTTTAAAGCCAGAAGACAATCAGAGAGTTTTACTGTTCTGCCGAATTTAAAATTACTGGAGAGGTACATGGCGAACTTCTCTTGAAAATACACTGCATAAATAACAGCTGTTGATAACCATAAAAGCCACTATATGTTCATAGTATAATCAAGTTTAACAAACGTCATAAGTTCAGTTTGGTAAAACTAATCAGGGCGCAAAAATATTACTTTTCCCAATGCTTTTTCAAATCAAACAATGTTTATTGTGGGATAATGAGGGCCAGTACATGATGTAAGTTAAATTTGATGGCCAATAAATACACATTGCATTGTTTTGTTGCCTAACACAGGTCATTTTAATACAAGCTTGCGAGCACTACGAAGGCTTTTGTTTTAAGATATTGAAAAGTGAACCCTTATACTTCTGGTTTGCAGGTGACGTCACAGCGGCCATGTTGGTGATCAAGAAAAAAACCATTTCTGTTCTCTGGGAAGTAACCTCTATTTTCATTTAAATCCTTCGAGAAAACAATTCTTTTTTACTGACCCCCAACATGGCCGCCTTGTCACGTGGTGCAAACCAATAATACCCACATGGTAACGTGATATCAATGGAAGAGAAGGGCCTGTCATAAGTACCCCTCGGGGGATTTCTCAGATGACTAACTATTACCTACTGTTGTTATTTGCCATCGTATCAATTATTTTATCCAAAATAAAGTCTGTTGCGAGGTCGAATTATTGCAGGAATTAGTAGCAAAAGCGTTGTACTTTCTCAGCTAAGAGCTAAAGAAGACAGGCTCATATACAATGCTTAAAGGATGGAACATCACCATGGCCCTAGGGAACGAAACCCTCTCTTTTACAAAAATAGGCCTTGGGCTCATATAACAGTTGAGTACGCCACCAGCACTGCTAACTTTTGTCCCCTCTCACTTTCAAATTCATTTCTACGGGCCCGCATGACAACGGAAGACAGCATATCTGGAGAAAAAAAGCTACGAGAAAACTGCTTCGATTTGAAAGTTTGGCTGAGCTTGGTAATTTGTATTGCGCGTCACACAGAAAAACAGGAACACGTTGATTTGGCCAATTGATTGTTTGGTGAATCATAATAAAAACTTATCTTCTCGGAGAAATGGTAGTCTTTCGTTGTTTTCACACTTTATTTGTAATTAAACTTTATTTTGAATAATTATTATAGGTACGTGCATCAATCTTAGCCATCGGTAGCTGTCCGGCAAACTGAGAAAGTTTTACCTCGAATTATGGATTGCTTACTAGCCTACGTAATTCAGTTTACTTTAACAAAGAGAAGAAGAACAACAGTCAACAAGCTGTAAACTAATCGAACAACAGATAGAGGTGCTATGTACAAGTTGTTGTATATAGGGAAAGTATATATATATATAATATATATACATAGTTTTATCTGGATTTTTGAACTTGGTTTAGAAAAAACATCAACTCACTCTACTGCTTGGCAATTTAAAACAACGAAAAATTATTAAAAGGCCGATTAAAAGCCTTTATCTGACGCCGGGCAGTAAGTCAGTGTTGGTCCCTAGAAGTATTTCAACGAGTCACAATTTCAATGATGTCAAGTTATTTCCGCACCGTTCTTTGAAGTTAGTCGGTTGCAGGTAATTACCTTCAAGAGGGCATTGCCGTTTCTTGACGGTAATTGCCTCAGACAAAACGTGATTTACCAAGCGACTGTAACGACTGGGACAACAACAGAATCATACATTGGACTCAGTAGCCACTAACTTTAAAGAACAGTACAGAAATCACTGGACATCCTTCCGACACGCGAACAGAGGAAACGAGACGGAACTGTCCACACAGGTGTGCCCCCTACAGATCCTTTCACGTGCAGGGGAAAGTACTCAGTACTTGTTAACCATATGACAAGGCTAGCAATAATTGTAATCTGTGCCTCCAAGAAAAATTTTTTATCATTTGCAAAAAACACTTATGTACTCTGAACAAAAGAAACGAATTTGCAAGTTCATGCCCATACAGAAATAGATTCACTCTCAGAAATTTTAGAATAACGTAACGCAACGCAACGAAACCGCAGGGATCCCGAAAAAACCATTGGGAAACCTCTATACCTCCGTGTCGACTTTGTGTCTATTTACAAAGTTTTTAATCACTCTGCGTCTGCCTCGTCACCAGCCGCTCGCAATCGCATATTCAGAAATTTTTAAGTTTGGCGGCCTACCCATCATCCCCCACTCGCTGTTCTACACTCGTTTCCTACACCCCGCATTGAACTCCACCCTCCTCACTTAGCTTTGGAAAAGAAACACGTTTCACGCGCCAAAATTCTCAGAAGCAGTCTTAAAATTGCTTTCTCCGCAGTAATTGCATCTTGTTCCACAAAACTTGGCGGAGTTGCTTTAACGGCACCCCATTGCAAACTGTAGAACTAAAAAAAAATGCCCTTCAGCATTACTTCAGGGTGAATCTGTTTACAAAGGATCTGGATAGGGTTAACTGACAACTGACGAATAGCCAAGATATTAACTGACAAAAAAATTCATTCAATAATTACATTAATTGATTTTGATTAATTAATTACGCGTCGATCATAAGTGACGTCATGAAAAGTTTATCTGGAGGCTCGCTGCATGAATCAGTCCGTCATAAGCTCAATTCGAAGGGCAAGCACAATACCCAGTCCTCCCTCCCGGCCGAGAGAGTCTATTGATTCAGTTACGACGTCATTCGTTACTCAGTGTACTTGTTGTCCAATCGGACTCAATAAACTTGTTGCCCAAACTTCTTGTTAAGTGGTCTTTGGGAACACGTGATTGCCTAAAATTTAACCGACAACTGACATTTACCTTGGGTTTTACTGTCAAGTGACAAAGGACCTGATTGTCCTTTATTACTCTCGCATGCGTAAGCAGTGAGACTCAGAGGGCCGGTTATTTAAACGAAGTCTAAGTTAACCAGTGTTTAGGGCTAAGCCTGCGGTTAAGACGTTGTCTCGATAAACAACGGCTAAACGATGCTTAATTAACAATTATTGAATGAGGCTGAGTATCTTATGAAGAATTATGGAGATCGAGGAGGGTGTTATTCGTCGAGGCCGTAGGCCGAGGCGGGTAACACCCTCTGGGATCTCCATAATTCGTCATATGATACGAAAGCCGAATTCAATAATTGTTTTATTATTCATTCAAAATTCATTAAAGAAAAAAAGCTAAAACATGTTTACCTCCACCGATGTTAAGTTCTCCTTCGATAGTGCACGTTTAGGGTTATTCAACTCCGCAAATATTCTTCAAATAGCAGATGTCGCCCTTCAATTTGTGTTCTTGCCATTTTTTTAGCTATAATTTCGCCTAGTTCTTACTCTTGAAACGAGTGAAATGTCCGCCATGTTTTGTTTTCACAACCAAAACAACTCAACCTCGTCCCCAGGTCTTCTCGGTTAACGGTGCATTAACCTGCAAGAACGCTGCCTTTTTGACGTCATTTCCTCGTTAAACACAAAATTCTTCCAAATTTTCAGGTCATCAGTAACTGGTTATGGTGAATTATGCGTGTGCTTTTAGCCAATCAGAATCGGGGAAATATTTTGAATGAATAATAAAATACATTATTAAAACACGACTGAACCGTGTTCTTTCAAGTCAATGGCTAAACCGTGTCTCACGAGGAAATACATTGTCTGCGGAGTTGTTTCGTATGCACATTTCCAGATAGTGGTTGTGTCTCTGCAATATGGCTTCTAAACCAAGTCGCAAACAAATTTCAGCGAACAAGAAAAACTTTTATTGGCCGAATTGGGTAGAGACGGTAAAACGTTGGCAAAAAAGATAAAGGCATGAGAGGAAATTTTAACTAAGTTTAACTCCCAAAATCTTAACGGTATCAAAAGCGACCTCAGTCAGCTTCAAGGATGATGGAGGCGCCTGAAACTCCAGTCGAAAAAGGAACACGACTTACATCGTCGTGAAGCAAGAAAAACTGGCATGCATCAAATCGGGTTGTTTAGCTCGGCGTCCGTTCTGCCACAGAGTAAATCTACTGAGTTGTGTAGCTCGGTGGCCGTTATTCAACCGAAAGTAAATCTACCGAGATGTGAAGCTCGCCGGCGCCTTTTCATCACTGGACCCAATTCTATGATATATATTATTTACATTTTGTTACCTTGTTTTTGCATTATATTTCCTCGTTTTTGCTCTGTGTTTAATAAAACTTCATTGCTCTTAGCCAATCCTCAGATTTAAGAATTTTTTTCATGTCTATTATTATGATGAAAACCGATTACATTCAAATAATTCCCTCAGCTCTAAAACTGTTTCAGTTTCAGTTTAGTTTCAATGTATTTTTTCCCAGAAAAAAAAATACATATGCATACAGACATTCAATACATTAGAAAAATGTTATTTAAAGATTAAAGAGACGCAAAAAGTAAAAGAATTTAAAAAAAAATTTTCTGGCGAGGAAGCTCAAATGGAAACTTTGAGGCTTATTATATGAGCTGCCTCCCTAAACTAAGACTAAACATAAAGAATAAATAAGCGGCAAAGTTATACTGAAATATAATTAGGATAAAAAGCAAGCAAAACAAAACAGACAAAAAGCAGCAAAAAACAAGTATTATTTACAAATGATTATTAATCCACTAAGAAGAAATGTTTTTAATCTGGATTTAAAAAGAGAGATTTTATAGTAGCAGCAAAAACGAACGTAAAGCATTTTTTTCTCTTTAATTCTCATCTCGTAAGTATATGGTACAAACTGACCCGGACATCATTTAGCCCATTTTTTTAAACATGTATATAACTGTTAAGACTTCCTGGCTACGATGAGACGATTAGTAGTACATTAATAAAAAGCCTTTTTTCATCAATTTGAATCTTTGTTCAACAGATGTATCGATCAAGAATCGGCTAAAAAACTTTGTATCACTGATCGTGACAGTTTAGCTCGTTTTCTAAAAACCAGACAATTGTGCTATTTGTTTTGCCAATTGCACGGCGCAACAAGATTGCCAATAACTCTGTCGTTTGACATGAAAATACAGCCCACCGCATATTTAATTTGTTTTTGACATGATGAAGCTATCACATAAGGAAAACAGATATATTAAAAAAAGGTTCGCTTGAACGTAGTTGCTTCGGAGAAAAGTCAAGGTAATGACAAACCACCAAACAATTGGAGAACTGTATTGTTCCGCAAAATTCACTGGAGAGTCGAGGAGAGGTACATGGCGAGCTAATTTCTCTCTAAGACAAAAGAGGATAGCTAAATATGATGGTGAATGATGGTACAAGTTCCATGTTAATATTTTGGGTTCACTATACTCAATCGAAATGAACGTCACCATTTGGCGTTTTTAATTTTAAATATTTTACCTTTCATATAACAGATCCGAATTGGACGCGCCGGGAGATGGTGTGAACGGGGGAAATAATTTTAAAAAGCAATTTAAATGAGGATATTATCTTGACGTAGTGAAATAGCAATTTAAGCAATTGCAAATAAACCGTCCAAAATGTTAAATTTATAGCCCACAAAGTTTGACATGTTTGGGGATATACTCGGTTAAGACTTCCACTTCTAAAGAAAATGTGGCCAATTTAGTGCTGGTATGCATGTGAACGTCAGTTAGAGTTGAAGAAAAACGGCACAAGCAATTTGAAGCTACAAAATACAGAAACACTTTAACATAAGCCCCACCAGTAACAGGCTCGCCAATATAAACTCAATCCCCTCTCACTTGCATTGAAATGAAAATGATTTATTATGATATTTTGAAGCTTTTACCCGTAACTGGAAAACATATTTAAATCAGCACTGCGTTAGCTTGTTTCGAACAGCTTTTTCCAATTCCGTTATAATCCCCCTCGGATTTAAGCCCCTGCGTTTAATTTATCAAGAGCCCTTCTAAAAACCCTTGCAAAGATGTATAATCCCAGGGATTTTAAGCGGCAGTTTACGGCACTGCATATCATATGTTCGGCTCACAAACTTAACACCTCCGTTAGCAAAATTTTCTCGTTCTACTTGATCTCACTATGTTTACTAAAACTGCTGATTGCTCTCAGCTAATCCTCGAATTCACGTTTTTTTCATGATTTTTATATGATAAAAACAGGTTACATTCTAATTTCCTAAGCTCAAACGAACGTTTTATTTTCTTTATTTCCCACCTCGTAAATGGTCCAGACTTTCGAGCCCATTATTTGAACATTTGGAGATTGTTACTGAGACCTCACTGCCTGCGATGACATTAAGAGCGCGTCAGTTTAACTTCTAGCAATTGACGAAAACCGTTATTTACTCAATTTGAATATATGCTTAACACTGAGAAATATCGATCAAGACTTGGTTAATAGACTTTTATTACTAACAGTTTAACTCGTTTTCTAAGAGCCAGGCAATTGTGCTTATTTGCTCGCTAATCGCACGGCAACACAAAGGCGACACCAACATTGTCAAATTCCATCGTTTAATAAACTGAAAATAAAGAGCAAATATTTAATTGTTTGCTGCGAAGGTGCATGTAGCAGTCATTTAAGGAGGACAGATATATTAAAAAAGAGTTCAGTTGACTGTAGCCGCATCGCAGAAAAGTCGTGGAATTAATGGAAAATTTTACTAGAGGTGAAAACCTGCAAACAGTTGCAGAACGTTTGTGCTCTGCGGAACTTACTGGAGAGGTACATAGCGAGCTCATTTTTCTCTCTGTCGTTAACACTTGTTTGTCCATTACAGCATCTTTAGGGAACGCTCTGATCTTAGTTGCCCTTTACAAGGACACAGCAATTCATCCGTCATCCAAACTCTTGTATCGTAACCTAGCGATAACTGATCTTTGTGTTGGTATCATTGCGGAGCCTCTCCATGTTGCTTATATGATCTCTGAGGTGAACAAAAGATGGGATATTTGCTATTACGCAAATGTGACAGGATATTTCGCAAGTCTTACTTTGGGTTCAGTGTCGTTGATAACAGTGGCTATAATAAGCGTGGACAGACTTCTCGCTTTGCTACTGGGTCTCAGATACAGACAAGTTGTAACTTTGAAAAGAACGCGTTTAGTTGCTATTGGTGGTTGGATCGTGTCTATTGTCGGTTCATCTATCTCCTTTCTGAAACCTCTTATAGATTCTTTGTACCAATATATTGGTGCACCTTTTTGGTTAGTTACTACAATCTGTGCCTACACAAAAATTTTCATGTCTCTGCGTCATAACCAAATTCATGTTGTTCAAGGACAATCGAGCCAAGTAAATACACTAAATATAGCTCGATACAGAAAGGCAGTGTACAGTGCACTGTGGGTGCAGGTAACATTGGTTATTTGTTATCTGCCGTACGTTATAGCTGTAGCTTTAACACCTCAAAGGGGGACGCCTTTATCTACTTACCTGGCTAGGCAATTTACAATTACTTTAGTGTTTTTAAACTCGTCGTTAAACCCGTTTGTGTACTGCTGGAAGATCACAGAAGTGAGACAAGCTGTAAAAGAAACATTACAACAACTACACTTCTGTACCTGAACTAAGACTTAGGCTAAGAACATTTACTAACGAACTTGATTAGAAAATATATATAAGAAAACCAGACGAATGTCCTAGTCCGAATTGCACCTTTAAGATTGTTTTCTGTTTCAGTGCAGATTGTAAAGACGCAAACAAAATCATTTGTTTATGTGAAAAAATTTAATCAATCATAAAACAAAATGAAAATATCACTAAAACTAGTCAGTTAGATAATTAGTTCTCTGGCAATGAAGACTAAGAAGCAGGCACATATTCTTAAAGAGAACAGCTTACTTGCTCGCAACATCACACCGACAAACTCTTTTGACTTATGTTTTTAAAGCCAGAAGACAATCAGAGAGCTTTTCTGTTCTGCCGAATTTACTGGAGAGGTACATGGCAAAGTTACCTTGAAAATACACTGCATAAATGAGAGCTGTTGATAACCATAAAAGCCACTATATGTTCATAGTATAATCAAGTTTAACAAACGTCATAAGTTCAGTTTGGTAAAACTAATCAGGGCGCAAAAATAATACTTTTCCGAATCAGCCGAATGCTTTTTCAAAATCGAACAATGTTTATTGCGGGATAATGAGAGCCAGTACATAATGTAATTTAAATTTGATTGCTAATAAATACACATTAACATTGTTTTGTTGCCTAACACAGGTCCTTTTAAATAAATAAAAGCTTGCGAGCATACGAAGGCTTTTGTTTTTAGATATTATGAAAAGTGAACCCTTATATTGCTGGTTTGCAGGTGACGTCACTGCGGCCATGTCGGTGATCAAGAACAAAAGCATTTCTCTTCTCTGGGAAGTAACCTCTATTTTCATTTAAATCCTTCGCGAAAACAATTCTATTGTATTGACCCCCAACATGGTCGCCTTGTCACGTGGTTGCAAACCAAGAATACCCACATGGTAACGTGATATCAATAAAGGAGAAGGGACTGTCATCAGTCCCCCTCGGGGGATTGCTCAGATCACTAACTATTACCTACTGTTGTTATTTGCCATCGTATCAATTGTTTTATCCAAAATAAAGTCTGTTGCGAGGTCGAATTATTGCAGGAATTAGTAGCAAAAGCGAAATACTTTCTCAGCTGAGGGCTTAAGAAGACTACAGTGCTTAAAGGATGGAACATCACCATGGCCCTAGGGGACGAAACCCCCTCTTTTACAAAAAATGGGCCTTGGGTTCATATAACAGTTGAGTACGCCACCAGCGCTGCTAACTTTTGTCCAATTTCACTTTCAAACTCGTTCCTACGGGCATGCATGGCAAGACAGCATACCTCGGGAAAAAAAAAAGCGGCGAGGAAACTGATTCGATTTGAAAGTTTGGCTGAGCTTGGTAAAGTGTATTGCGTTTCACACAGAAAAACAGGAACACGTTGATTTGGCCAATTGATTGCATTGTTTGGTGAATCACAATAAAAACTTATCTTCTCGGAGAAATGGTAGTCTTTCGTTGTTTTCACTTTATTTGTAATTAAACTTTAATTTGAATAATTATTATAGGCAAGTGCATCAATCAGTAGCCATCGGTAGCTGTCCGGCAAACTGAGAACGTTTTACCTCGAATTATGGATTGCTTACTAGCCTACGTAATTCAGTTTACTTTAACAAAGAGAAGAAGAACAACAGTCAACAAGCTGTAAACTAATCGAAAAACGGATAGAGGTGCTATGTACAAGTTGCTGTATATGGAGAAGGTATAATATATTTATAATATATATATGGTTTTACCTGGATTTTTGAACTTGGTTCAGCAAAAAAATCAACTCACTCTACTACTTGGCAATTCAAAGTAATGAAAAATGATTAAAAGGCCGATTAAAAGTCTTTATCTGACGCCGGGCAGTAAGTTAGTGGTCCCTAGAAGTATTTCAACAAGTCACAATTTTAATGGTGTTAAGTGATTTCTGCAGCGTTCTTTGAAGTTAGTCGGTTGCAGGCAATTACCTTCCAGAGGGCATTCCGGTTTCTTGACGGTAATTGCCTCAGACAACGTCGAAACGTGATTTACCAAGCAGCTGTAACGACTGGGACAACAATTACAACAGAATCATACATTGGACTCAGTAGCAACTAACTTCAAAGAACAGTACACAAATCACTTAACATCCTTCCGACACGCGAACAGAAGAAACGAGACGGAACTGTCCAAACAGGTGTGCACCCTCAAAGATGCCAACAGATCCTTTCATGTGCAGGGGAAAGTATTCAGTAATTGTAAACCATATGAAAAGGCTAGCAAAAATTGTAAACTGTGCCTCCAAGAAAAAATTGTTATCATTTGTTAAAAACACTTATGTACTCTGAACTAAAGAAACGAATTAGCACGTT